TGTTGTATATAGCAGTAGTTCTTTTTCATTGCTGTGTAGTTTTCTGTTGTATGAATATATTACAAGTTATCCATTTTAATGTTGATAACATTTGCATTTTTTTCCAGTTTGAGGCTACTGTGAATAATTTTCACATCTTTTGGCAGACACAAGCAAGCATTTGTTTCTCTTTTGTGGGCACCAGGTGTGGAATTGCTCAGCATCATGTGTAAATACATGCTTAGCATTAGCAGGTGCTATCAAATGTTTTCCAAAGTGATTATACCATTTTATACTCCCATCAACAATGTGTCAGAGTTCTAGTTTCTTTGCCAACACTTGGAATGGTTAGTCTTTTTAGTTTTAGCCCCTCTGGAAAAGGTGAATGTTGTCACATTGTTGTTTTAATTTCCATTTTCCTGAAACTAATGTTGAACATCTCTTATGTGTTTATTAACCAATTAGAAAAAAATACCTCTTTTCTACATTGTCTATTTCTTTTGTCCATTCCTTTAATTAGATNGCCACGCTCCCAAGCGGCGCACTGTAGCAGTGCGCCACCGGGCCGGCCCTTTTTTTTTTTTAGAAGTTCTTCATTTTAATGAAGCCCACTTTATTAGTTGTCTGTTTTATAGTGCTTTTGTGTTCTGTTTATGAAATCTTTACCTTCCTCAAAGACATAAAGATATTTCTTATAGGAGCTTTATAGCTTAACCTTTTACAATTAAATCTCTGATCTTTCTTTAATTAATCTTTGTGTATGGTGTGAGGTGTGGTATGAAAGGACCATCTTTACAAATTGAACTTCGGTGTTTCCTTTGTCATAACTCAGGTGACCACACATGTGGGCTTATATCTAGGCTCTCTTTGGTGTTTCACTGATCTCTCTGTGTATCCTTATGTCAATAAAAGAGTAAACTTTTGAAGAGGTTTACTTAGCCATAATAATAGGGGGACTCCTGACCCTGTAGAGGTATTAAAACCCACACCCTTAGATTATTCAGATCAACAAAAACCCCTCCCCGCTTTCCCCGCACTGGACAATTCCAGCTTCAGCCCTTCTCCTTAACACTCTGGTTCTCAGTTTTCTGAGATCCAGGCCCCGACCCTTACCTTGTGTGTGCTTTTGGCTTGTTCATTTCAGTGAGCTTGGCTGTGCATTGAAAGGCACAGCTAACATTTTATCTAGCAGTTATGGATGTTTTGAAGCATGAGAGTTTTCACTTTGTCTAATCTGTGACTTTGTTGAAAGTAGAAAGTAGAAACTGTCAACGTCAAGAAAAAAGGGAATCTTACCAGCAGAGAGCTAAAAACAGCATTGGGCATCCTAAGTGGAATTTTGTGTTGCTCCTTAGAAATAAAAGGGAACCAATACCTTTGCAAGATCTCTGACTGTCCTGAAACTTCTCTCCTGATGCTTGTCAGAGCATCAGAAGTCCTGGCTGGAGACAGGCATCCTCCCAATTTTGGCAAGGTTCTGAGATGCTGTGACAGCCCCAGTAGGTCTCTGAAGTGAGTTGCTCTCTCAGTAGCCATTGTTTGAGGGTCACAGAGATTTCCTTTGAGTCTTGTTTTCATAATATCCTTTCCAAAACTGGTTTATTAATCTCTCAAATTTGCTCCTCTTCCTTAGAAATATTATCACAGGGAATCCATGGTTATTTGAACTAGCCTTCAAAGCCTGTGCTTTACTTAAAATTTAAGACAAAGATTGCTGTGTTAAAACTCATCTAAATTCAAGTGTGAATGTCCTACACTTAGGTAATAATATTCCTGGTTTTTTTTTTAAGATGACTGATAAGGGGATCTAACCCTTGACTTGGTGTTGTTGGGACCACGCCCTCCCAAGTGAGCCACGGGCCAGCCCCCATTTCCTCTTTGTCTTTAACCCAGGTGGTCTTAGAAGATACTCAGAGCTGTGTCGGTGGAGTTAGAGAGCCGGTGTGAATCCCTGTCCTGCCATTACTGACGGGGTGACTTTAGCCACGTCACTCACCTCCTCAGGAAAACATGACAGTAGCACCTGTGCCTTCCACGTGGGGCCTAGGTGAGGACAGTGCCTGACCCATGAGGGCAGCCGAGAGTGTGACTCTCAAGCCAATGTTTAAGGCCACCTCAAGATACAATGGGTGTTTTGTTTCAGAACCACATGAACTTTACCGATCTCTTTCTATTTTCCTCTAAGCTGGACCTCACGGGGAGAAGCAGAGCTCCTAACTCACCCACCCCATTTTCACTGAACCTGGAAGCATTTCCTCAGTTGTCATCTCTCAGACACTAGAGAAGGTGTCCTGTGTCATTCTCTCCCTCTTCCTGAGCAAAAGTCTCTCTCTCTCTTCACAGGAAAAGAAGAGAGGAACACCCGTGGGGAAAGCAAACCCCTCTGAGGTCCCCCGTCCACGTGGCTTCCACTCAGTCCTCCAGGAGGACAGCACCCCACATGAGGACGCACCCCCACGCTCTACGGTTCTTCTCAGGAGGAAAGTTCAGGCTAATTCACACGTCCTGCTAAGGTGTGTTTTCTGCCAAGCTTTTGATAGGTTGCCCCTAAAAGTCAAATTCCACCACCCCTTTTTGGACAACCATCAGCTGAGCACACATATCTGTAGCCGTATGAATGTCGCCCACAGGTATGGCCGGGTGATGGGCGCACCTAATCCTCCACTGAGCTCATGATCTGGAAGGAGTACCAGGACAGGCGCACACGGAGAGGTGATGATGTGACATCTGCAGACATCATGTAACCAGTGCCCAGCTGGTTGGTGGTCCATGTAGGAAGGAGGTGACGCCGCCGTCTGTGGACCGCGAGCAGTTCAGCGGTGGCCAGCGAGGCGCCTCCAGCAGCAGCCGGCGCCTCTCCAGGCACAGCCTCCTGCTCCCAGAGCCCCAGCCCCACTCAGAGGCCCCGAGGGCAAAGCTCGGCCATGCTGATTTGGGCAATGACTGACTTCCAAGCTGAGGCACAGCCAAACCTGTCATCTGAATTAAGTGGTCTGTCCTGAGGTTTCTGGACATGCAGGATGGTCACAAACCAGCCTATCTGTTGTCAGGTTTGTGGGGTAGGCAGAATGGCCCCAAAGATACCCTAGTCCCCAGAATCTGTGAATATGTTGCATTACATAGTGAAAGGGACACTGAAAATGTGACCAGGTTTGCAGATTTAAAACAGAGATTATCCTGGATCATCCAGATTAGATTAGCCCAATCTAATCAAATGAGCCTTTAAGCAGAGAACTTTCTGCGGCTGGAGGCAGGGGAGATGTTGCAAAGCCAGTGGGGAGGGGAATGTCAGAGAGATTTGAAGCGTGAGAAAGCCTTGCATGGCCTTTGCTGGCTTTGAAAATGAAGGGGTCACAAGCCAAAGATATGGCAGCCTCTAGAGGCTGAGAGTGACCCCAGCCATCTGCCAGTGAAGACACGGGGACCTCAATCCCACCACAGAATGGAAGCAAATCCTGCCAACCTAAATGAGCCTGCAAGCAAAGTCTCCCTGGATCCTGATAAGAAGCCAGACCAGCTGTCACCTGGATTTGGGCCCTGTGAGACTCTAAGCAGAGAAGGCAGCCAGGCCTGCCGGATTCTCGCTACAGAACTGGGAGACAATCGACGGGTGTTGTTTTAAGCCTCTAATGTGTGGTAAATTGTGACAGCAGCAACAGAAAACCAGCACCCTAAGAGTTGAACCAGGAGCTTCAGATGCCTCCTGAACCTGAAGTCACACCTGACACCTGGGTCGCATCCAGACTTCCAAACCGAGGTCCCTTCTGTCCTTTCACCTCACCCTCCCAGGAAGGCCAGAAAGAAGGCAGAAGAAGAATCGCCACCTTGGTCCTTCCAAGGAGCAGCCTGAGGCAGAGGGGGCCACAGTTTGTCTCCAGTGGTGAGTCTAGTCAGTGGGAGGAGAGACTCACCATGCTCAGCCTAGGTATCTTCCAGAAACCACCACAGGAAGGAGGCGTGAAGTGTTAGCCTGTCTACTCACCTTTCTGTAGATGGCAAATATGGTCCCGATGGAGGCCAGGCAGTCAATGTTGGAAGATCCATCCAGTGGGTCAAAGCAGACCACGTATTTCCCCTGAATCACAGAGGGAAGAAACAGCAGATCAGCATGACTGCTCTCTCAGACACATTGCGTCAGAGGAGACTCAGGGCCATGCACATCCTTATCAGGAAACACTCACACACGGGGGACAGCGTGCACCCACATATAGGACTGCTGCAGCCTAGGGCCAGCCCCACCCCACACAGATGCACTGATGCCCACCCAGCAGCTAGAGGCCCCAGCAACTCCTCCCTCCTGGGCCCACCAGGGCTCAGAGCCGCTGAGGGTGTGGGAGGAAGCTAGGTCTCGAATTGTCACCTGCAGGGAGAGGTGGGAAGTGGAAGCTGAACCCGGGCTGCTGCCCGAAGGTGCCCAGGGCAGCTCTGCTAGTGTCCACGGTCAGCCAGCTGTGGGCTTAGGGATATTTCTTTCTGGCCTCTCTGCAGACAGGTCTTTTCATCTTGGAGCATTTTTGCAGAAGACTTCATCACAGAACGCCCTTGTCAGGACCTCTGGGTCTGTCTTACTAAGATGGTTGGTATGGAAAAGTATACTAGAAGAATAAAAACACTCTTCTGGGTTTGCTGCATCCAACTCTCCTTTCTGATGTGAAGACCAGAATATAAAGTGGGCAGGGTCTTGAGAGACCTTTGTCCCCCACCCCCACCCACTCTGCTGTCATAGGCAATTCCAGCCAACCTTCCATGGAAGGAAATCCCAGACACTTTTCACATATCTCCCATGTGCAAGGTGCTGAGAGAGCCGTTGGTGATGGGCTAGAGTCACCTGACCAGTTAAACGGGGGCAATGAAGCATCAAGTGACTGGGAGTGGTTTCCGCCTCCACTCACGCTGGCTGTCCTGACTTTCCATGAGTTGTGCCCTAGCTTCATTTGAGCTTTGTTTCTTTTTCTTTCCTTGCTCTGCCAGAGGAGGGGGAAAAGTAGGATAATCCCTAAATGGGAATTCCTCAACCCCTCTATGAATAACCCAACTTGGCCCATGCGTGCATTTATCCAACAGGTATTTGCTGAGCATCTAGCTAGTGCTGGAAACTGCAGGGCGCCGGGGTTTCATGGAGAGGAGCAGCAGCAAGGCTGATGTCATAAAGCTGACGTTCTGGTGGACAAAGCAGACACACAGGCAAACACAAAAACAGGTTGTGGTACATGCTCTAAAGAGAAACCAAACAGGGTGAGGGGCAGGAGAGTGGGAGGGAGGAACATTCGATGAGAGGCCTGACTGGAATGAAGGAGCAAAGACACCTGGAGCCCGAGGGAGAATTGCAGACAGTGACACCAGCGGGAGCTCCCGGCATGGGGAGCAGACGTGGAGCAGCTTCATGAGCGAGCATGAGTGGGCCGGCCAGTTAGTCAGGTGGTTAGAGCACAGTGTTGTAACACCAAGGTCAAGGGTTCAGATCCCCATACAGGCCAACTGCCCCCCCCAAAAAACTCCAAAAAACTAGCATGAAGATCTGTGTAGCTCAAGCCAACTACGGAAGACAGTGGTAGGTTAAACTGGAGAGACAAACAAGGGTCCTCCCCACTGAAATTGAAAGTTGAACGTAGCAGGTATGATTTAGCTTAAATACATGTAACAAGTATGAAAGTGCCTTGTACCGCACTTGGCACACAGTAGGTGCTTAATCAATTAGGCTTTATTTTATCTTTCCTGTCCTTCCAGCTAATCATAAAGAAACAGCTCCTCATCACCAATGCCCAGTGTATAAAACAAGGGCTGGGAGTCGCAGCATCTGTTTTACGTTACAACATTACAGCTGAACATTGCTTGAATTTTTTTGGCCACCAGCAAACCACTCTCTCTAATAAACTGTTTGTGAACCCACAGTGAATATAGACCCTTCCCAGACACACCTGCACTTACAAGAAAACAAATGTTAAGAAAACAGGGAAATCCCAAAACTTAAAAAAAAAGCAACCAGCTTCTTCCCAGCTAACTAGCACCATCTCCTGGTGACAAGTGGCACTGCAGCCCACTCCGGAACGCACCCTCCTGTCCTTGGAGGTGATGATCGCTTCCTTATTCTCTTCAGAGACCAGGATGCAGGTGCTGTAGGAGGACTGCAGCATGTTGATCACCAGGGAATTGGACAACACATCCAGTTTCTTCACCTCATCTCCCGTCACATTCATGCTCCCCGCTATTCCATACCTGAGAAGAAAAAAGGCTCAGTGAAGTCACTAGGGGATTCCTAACTCCAGCAAAGAACACGATGCGAAAATACCAACAGTGCATCCTCCTTTCTCTGAAGTCTCCAAATTATAAATAGAGAAGGAGAAGATTACGTCTCACGGCAGTGATTAGCAGACTTGCTTCCTTTATTCTTCAGGGATATTGTCACTTTTCCTTAGTCTCCCAGTGAGATTAACCAGAATTCGATCTTACTAAAATACAAACTCACGCTCAGCACCAGGAGGCAGGGAGAAGGGGAAAGTTCATAAAATCAGACATCACCGTCACGAAGGACGCCAAACAGTGACGCCCGTGGCTTCCTGCACTGGAGGTGCATGTCTTTGTTGGTGATCCTCAAATAGCTTCCCGATGAGCCCTGCTCTGTCTCACCTCCACTCACCGTGCCCGGCCCGCCACACCCAGCGCTCACGATCTTCATGGGCCTCCTCCCTGCTGGGCTGTCTGCTTGCTGAGGCTGGAGCGGTGCCTCACTGTCTCCGTTTCCACAGTGCCAGATGCACACTAGATGCTCAGCGTGTGCTCACTGAGTTATGAAGAAAGCGTGGCAAGAAGGTCACTACCCTTCCTCTCCTCATTTTAATACCATTTATTTGTTGAAGGAGTCGTCAGGTGGTTCTGCAGGTAGTCTGTGACAAAGTCATTTCCCACCCTCCTCCCTGCTCCACACCCATCATTTGTGCCTGGTTTGAGTGACATGATGAGCTGCCAGCTGCCTTGGAAATCAGTCCTGGCAGCCTGGCCTCAAGGACTGTGCCTCCTGGTTCAAGTCAAAGACAAGCAAACCAGCAACAGCAACAACACAACTGGGTTATTTTGCATCAGAGGTGACCACAGTCCCAATCCTTTTGTTTAATATGGAGTCTTGGTGCAGCTCCTGCTGGAGAATGAAGAGCTAGCATGTCTAAGGCCTGTGGTGGGCAGAGCTGAGACACAGGCTCTGTCCTGTGCTTTGCAAACTTGCCCACAACCAACACCATCCTGCCAGCCCTCCCACCCCCACCCCTCAACCTGCCCTCTGCACCCTCTCCCAGGTGTTGGGCAATACCCCTCCTTCCAGAAAGGATGGAAACTCACTCACAATGAGAGGTCATTTCCTGACAACTGCTTCAGGTTAGATCATGTGTGAAAAAGTGCTTTCTAACCCACAAAGCAATATATCCTAGCATTTTAACTAGCACTAAAGCTTACTGACAGTTTCTAAGTGGAATGTTCTACCATTTGGACATTAGAAAGCCATGGAGAGGCTATGGTGGTGGCAGGCACTGAAGTGTTCCCTTGTTCCTACACTAAGAAGAGGAGGAAAAAAAGAAAAACATGAGAATCTCTGATAACTTTTAAATGGCATTTATCAAGTCTGTGCCAAGAATGTCTTCCCAAAAAGGAAACAAAGGAATGAGGGGCTTGAGGTCCCTACGTGGGACAGTGGCAGGAATAGGTGACAGTGCCAGTCTCATGAGCAGAAGCATGGCTGCTGCAGGACAGGGGCGACTTTCACTGAGTCCAGGGTCTTTCTAAAATAATTTTATTAGAAAGAAAGAATTTCCAACGAATGGGCTTCTCCCACTTTGGGCATCTGTTACAGAGGGACCAGGGGAAGAATGCCATCTGAATGGCAATGTCCAGGCGCAGGACCCCTGCCTCAGCTGTCAATCCACCCAGGAAAAGAGGAAGCCCGATGCCTGCTTCCAGGGGCTGCGCCTGCCACCTAGTGGTCAGTTGGCACAGGAGCCAGCTGGCAGATTTCTCCTGCTCTGGGCTGGGAACCCTGTTAATAAGGAGCATATACTGAGCATTTATTATGGGGCTGGCACTGTCAAAATTGTCACCACACGGGCTTATTAACCCTTTCAACAACACTACGATTAGGGGCATTAGTATCCTCTTCATTTTACAAACGAAGAAAGTGAGGTCCTAACAAGGGAAAAATCACTGCCCATGATCAGATGGTAGGAAAAGCCAAAGATGTGCCCCTTAATTATCCAGTTCCTATGCCCGCTTCATTCCGACACGCAGCTACCACAGAGTCAGAGTTTTGCCCCAGATAAGTAAGAATACTACCACGGCAGCTGCTGCTGAGCTGAGAGCCCTGCCCAGAGGAGGAGCCACATTAATGTGGGTGAATCGTCCCAAGATGTGGCTCAGGAAATGGTGCCAAGTACAGCAGGGCCCATACACAGGGAGAGACAAGGTCACTATTCAGTGTCACTCAGCAGGGCCCATCTCCTACAGGAGCAGGATGGGGCACAGGGCTGCACCTCACATTCAGGAAGACCCTTAAAGGCAGAGCTTGGCCACTGTTGCCAAATGAGGTAATAACACAGTGCTGGCAATCCACAGACAGGAAGGAAGCCAAGCACGGTGCAGCTCCAACTTGGGTCCCATTACTGAGTCACAAAACCTTATACAAGTAAAGTCCATAATGATCTTATGATAACTACGTCTCAGGATAAAACACTATCACTTCTTTGTGTTAAAACTACTGAATTGATAAATATTTTAAATTACTGGACTTTCTTAGTTCTTCATTTTGGGTCCCTCTGCTCCCAGAATATGGGTCTCTTCAGCTTCTGAGTGGACTGCCACTGCAATTGCTACAAAGTTTGTTCTTTTTGTCACAGAGTTAAGAGGGACCCGTGGCTGTGAGCATCAGCAGTCACAGTGTGAACATGGCCTCATTCTGTGCCTGGATAAAGCACCAAGGGCGACCAGTGGAAGAGGTTCTGCACCCCCTCCCGACCCCTCCCAGCCTCCTGCACACCGAGTGGAGACGAAGAGAAAGAGCGAGTTACGGAGAAGAAATAAATGTTGCCAGCAAGATTCCTTTAGGTGGTGAGAGAGAGAGATGTAGGACAGGCCCTGTGAAGTTTTCTACTTTGTGAATGATTTCCAGATTCTAACACATTGGCAAAGGTCATAACAATAAAACGCTCACTCTGTAGAGGACATAAGAGATGTTTCAAGTCTCCCCTCCACTGCTCCATGCCAGTGAGAATCACTCTTGCTCATACAAGTCATGAGAACTCAATCTACGTTAGGTGTGATAAGCCATTGCACTTATCATTCTAATAAATGGTAACTGGAAAAATTATATATATTTTTTCCATAGCGTGTCTCGAAGTCTTTTTTTCCTTTCTTGATGCAGGTTAAAGGCCCCTTTATCGAAGCACCATGAATAGAAACTTGGAATGCAACTTCCTTCTGGGGCACAGAAGGCAAATGAGCTCTAGACTCAGCTCCCTGCCCAAGCTCCTGCAGCTCCCGCCCTGCCGGGGCCCTCCCCAGAACTCACAGGTTGGCCAGGCCTGCCTTGCGCACGGCCGAGGAGATGGCTTTGATGGCCGTGAGCATGGAGTTCAGCAGCTGCGTGAGCTCCCCAGTCCCTTTGGCCTGGCGCCCTTTTTCCATGACGTAGCGGGTCAGGGTGAGCATGTCCGTTTCGAAGGGGCTTCTGTCTGACATTGTGGCTGGTAATGCTTCAAATCCTCCTTTTCACCCTGCAGGAACTTTGTTTCTCTCCAAAGGCTGCAGCTCCACAGTGAGGAAGCTGATAAGCAACCTGTGCTGGACCTGGAGCTTTAAGGAAAAAGGCCCCAGACCACGTGACTGCAACAACTGGCCGAGCCCTCACGGAAATCCCTTTGGCCTCGAGGCTGGTGGCAGCAGCCAAAGCGCCCCGAGCAAGCTCTAAATAGAACTGGGCGGAGCCTGCTTCCTCTCTGTGGGCTCCCCAATCTAGCCACTTAGGAACAGGTGGGAGGTGAAAATTCCAGCTGATGATAAAAAATGACCCATAAAACTGTCCTATTCAAGGACATCTATCCGCTGCAGGACCAACTCTCCCGCGGTTACAGGTGGCAGATGACAAATATCTTATCTGGGGCATAGGTCACAGTACAGTAATGGTGATCATGGAGTCTCCTTAGCCAGAGTTCTTTCAAATGAGTTTGAAAAAAATACTTTTTATTTCCAGAAAGTGTGTATGACTGGTAGATATCCATAGCAAATATCCAAATCTGGAAGAAAACAATTATATTCCTCCTATAGGACCTGGTGCCAGTGTTAGTTTATCAAGTTCTCTGGATTTGTACTTTTATAACAACAATAGTACTTGCTTATTAAAAAGGAAACACTGAGGAAGTGTATAAAGAAAACACTGAAGTCTGCCCCACTGGCCCATCCCCCCATCCCGCCCCGTAGAAATCGCTGCTGTCAGAGCTGGGGCGGTCTGTGCAGCCAACAGGCACGGGCGGGGGTCTGCGTGTGGTGGTCAGAGCACTTCCTCTAGGGGAGACAGACCTGGCTTTGAGTCCCAAGCTAGTTTTCTGCTAGTTGTAGGACTTGGGAAAGCTACTGACCCCTTGAATCCTCAGTTTCCTCTCTCGTAAGTGTGGGTAACATGAAACCTCCTCCCTGTAGAGTGGCTGTGAGGATTCAAGGTGATAAGAGGACCTGGGACATAGGAAGCACTCAATACTTTGTCAGCTGCTGTTATCCTTGCAGTTTTTCAATGTACCCATATTAGTAAAGTGTGTAATTCCATTCTACAAAGCAGTAGAATACGCACATGGCCCTGCACTTTGACTCTTACCCTGACAGTTATCTCAGCCAGGACGTGCAGCTGCAAGCAGCAGACAACACAGCGTGGCCTGTCCACGTGGGCTATTTAACTCACGGACCGTGAGTTCACGAGGTGGCGGCTGCTGGCCTTTGTTCAGCTGCTCAGAAGGTCCATGGGGACCCCTCTGTCTCTTTTCTGTCATCCTTGGTCTGCTGGCTTTTGCCCCGTACTTGTTATCTCATGGGCATGAAAGGGCCACCACAGCTCTGAACATCTAGACCACACTGAAGACCCAGAGAGGGCGGAAAGGGCAGCTCCAACCAAGTCAGTTCTCTCCTGTTAGGAAAGAGAGATTTCCCCAGAAG